ACAGTATTGCTGCAATCAGGAGTCCTGGGAGAAGTCTCCGAGTAGGTGTGTGTGTGTGTGCCTGAAGAAGATAAATAATTAAGAATGTGGGGTTGTGCATGGATGTGTGTGGTACGAGAGAGATACGACACGTAAAGCAAACGCAGTCTTGCAGCTGCCAGAATTCCTAAAACTAATTGAGATGGTGTGAAATCTCGCAGTGGGAGCAGACTGCATCAGTATGTGTGGCTGTGGCCCAGCAGACCATCAGGATGCAGACACATCCATGCAGAAAGCTTTGAAAGACACAACGGCCGACACATCTGAGCTGATTTGACACCTGACCAAGCCCAAACAGTGGTCAAAGCAGTCTTTTTCCAGTCCATTTACTGTGACGTCAATGATGCAATAACAAAGCAAGCTGTGCAATTCTGCAATTGTTCCAAAAGCAAGATACGGTGTGAAACAGTTGCTCCCTAAGACGAAAGCAGTGGTTAAGGGACGCAGGTATAAGTCTGGAAAGCATCATTGGTAGACCTTATGCATGTCATCACTGCCAAATTTAAATCATAATTATCAACATCTCTGATTAAGCTGATCCTGTTGTCCAAAGATGTTCAATGGACCTACAACTGCAAGCAGATGCAAACATGCATCAACATCTGAGACTCAAGGAAGAAAAAAGACTTATTAATGATAAAAGATAGTTTCCCAACTGAATCATCCTGAATGAACTGTATTTCTTTTACAAACTAATATAATTGTGGTACTGCTCAGTGAAAAAAAATAGTTAGGAAATAAGATCAACTATGGTTTACAGGTTTTGTCACTTGGATGTACCTCGGTTTATCAGTCAGAAAAAAAAAAAAAAAAAAAAACGGGCAAATCAGTAGACTGGTGCGAAACTGTGGTTTTATTTGCTGGTGGGAGAGTTACCACTCTGTTATTCAATGAATCACCGTAGTCCTCGACTTCTACAGTATCACAGTTTTTAGACGCATCGCTGATCCAACACAGCTGAATCAAGTGACTGAATTACCTCTTCAGCATGCCATCAAGTTTGGCAAGTGTCTGGTAATGACCTACTCATTAAATGAAGGTGTGTTAGACAAAGGTTCCACTGGAAACCTGCCAGTAGCCTGAGGACTAGGCTACTAGTCCTCAGGACTAGGGTGGAGGACTAGGGTTGGAGACCCCTGATTTTGAGATGAGGCATGTATTATTTATGCTAAACAATGGAATGAAAGATACACATTTACTTCAGGCCTATCCAGAAAGGAAATGGACTAATGATAATGGCTGATTTTCTACTTTTAACAGGTCTTGACTGGTGACCAACTGTATCGGAAACTAAAAAAAAAAAGAAAAAAAAAGAAAAAAAAAAAAAAAAAAAAAAAAAAAAATCTTTTTTTTAATCAGTGAGCACTATATGAAGACAAACTGACATCACTGATCTGTGTAGAAGCTGTTACTGAGAGGGAAACAAACTAAAAAGTTATGCATTTCCTACTTTAGTCAGGTGTTTAAACTGGCATCAGAGGAAATATAAGATGTAAGAAACTACTTTCTTGCCTGCTGGCTGTTCATTCTGATTGCCGTTATGGATAGCTCATCTGTTTTGTCTTTACATTGAATTGGCAAAGGAGCAAATTGACCCAGAGCCAACCTCAGATAACAGCAAGTCGGAACATATTTTAGTGCGGTGGCCCTGTTTAACCCTCAGTTTTTCAAGGAACACATGGGATTTGTAAATGTTGGCAGCCTTTTAGAAATCTAAATTAAGGTAAGGATCTTTATCCTCTAGGGAATACACAGAGAGACGGATGGTTATGTATAGTAATGTTAATCAAGCTAGTCACTAATATAGAATACTAAAGACTGCTTAAAATGTGAATGCATAATCACTTTTGATTTGAATGAGTAAAAAAACTGTTTTACAGCAAGCAGTGTGCCACCAACTCTTCTCTTAATCATGTGTAATGACCACTCACAGCAGAAGTGCCAGGAAGATGTACTCTGAATGTTGTTTAATTATAGTTCTTAAAGGGAAATGCATATCTGTTAGAAAAACTGGTGCAGGCAGGTTAAAACTTTATAAAATTAAGAGATCAGATATCAGTCTCAATTCTCCAATCAGTTCATATCTTTTTTGCTTTTATAAGTATATTATTACTTTAAAGGAAAGGACAGCTATTTTAAAAAGGAAAACAAAACAGATATCAGTTTTTATGTGAGCACTTAATACCTGATTGTTCTGTATGATATAATATACATCCTGGGTCTCTAATTTGTGCAGCAGTAACCAGTGGATTTTAGATCAGTAAAATGGCTCATTGCCTGCCTCATCAGCACCATTTTATTATGTTTGCATTATCGCTGTCTGCAAGTCTTCCACACTCCTCTGTCTCTCTCTATTCTCCCATCAATACGTTTTGACAAATATGTCATTAGGGTTTTCAGTTGCCTGCAGTCACAATACCAATGCCTTCACATAACCGCCACGGTTTTACGTGAAAGAAGTGTTTCTCAGAACTGTGAGCTTTGCCTGCAATCTTGAGCTGCAGCCCTTAATGCGTAAGGAATCCTAGTGCTGATGCATTGCAGATTATTTTCAATTATAAATGGCATGCGTAGGATCAAAGAACGAGGCATATGAAGAACACTTGGAGAAACGAAACAGGCCCAGCTGAAGTGAATGCACGACTCAATCTAAATCCGAGAGAACAGGAATTTGAAAATAAATAAATGCATTTAACAGGAGACTGTAAAGTAGGGGTTTTGATTGTTCCTGATAATATTAACTCAAGTTTAAATGCTAAAAAAGAATAGAATGTAGAATGAATGCAAATAAGCTAAACATTTACAACTGCATATGTCTGTACGTGGAAGCAAATATCAACTGAACCTGCATTGGAAACAAATCAATGAAGATAACCAAGTGGAAAAGTCTGTGTATATAATTTGTAAAATTATGCCATAATGATTCATTTATTTCTTTTTAAATTTGATGTACAGGTATCTAGTCATAAATGACCAAATAACATACAATATAAAAATCCCAAATATGACCATAATGTACTAAAATAATGGAAGAAAAGGATCTTCAGGAAAAATCAGTTCAGCTCATGGGACAATACTGCAGGTTCTCAATTTGCATGTATTGAAATATTTGATGGTATTCTCCTTTAATAAATCTGCTCTGATTTATTGGAGGAGAAAAGCACAGCATGGACGTATATGTACTTTTAAAACCATTACATTATTATTCACGCTTTATCAAATGATAGTCTAAATCCAGAAGTTGACTTAGAAGTTGATCTGAATCAACTTCTGGATTGAGAGCTGCAGATTTAAGTGGCCAATAATCATGAGAAGGCCTCAAAGTCTTCATCCACACCATCATTATTATAGCAATGTGCAACAGTGGCATATCACTTTTGCTAAAACGTAAAGACTTATAGTATTTCATATGCATATTTATGGTAAAAAAGTAAGCATGCTCCGTTTCAAATGCAAGTTTTTACATATCAGAATAAATTCTTATACTCTCATGATCATGTGATAAATTCAGGTGTTGACAGCTTTGGGTTACCTGGACCATTTCACCCTCTACAAGACTCAGTTGGGATGTACAATGTTAACGCCTAGGAGACCTCAGTAAGAAAAAAGGCTGAAAAAGATTTTTTGTAAGGATTGTCAAGGGAAAGTCTTGTCTCCTTTGAAAGAACAAAGGCTTCCAGAACACTCCTCTTAAAAATGAGACCAAAGTGGAGAGCTTATGTTATAGTACAAAAGAAAAGTACATCCAACAAGCAAAGCATCATCACAAAAACCTCTGAGTTTTTATTGCATTTTAACCCATTTAAAGGAGTTGAGAAGACAGAAGTGACAGAGAAACAAGAAATGTGCCGACTCTTCTACTAGAGTACTTCTGTATTCTAGTAGAAGAGTCGACACATTTCTTGTTTCTCGTTGTCACAGTCTTGCAGGCTAAAAATTCAAAATACGCCCAAAACAAAAGTAAATAAATGAGGACGAAGGAAAAGACAGTCAAAGTCCCAAGTTTAGTCACACTGAAATGCTATTTAACTGTCTATATAAAGCTTAAGGAAACATTCAATAATTGGAATCACTGTTGAGCACAAATCTATGTTTCCACTATCTCAAAGGTGAGAGAACAGTCAGGTAAGAGAGAGGATCTTACAACTATTCATGTGGCACTAATTGGTATTGAAGATGTCAAAAAAAGTAAAAAAAATTGGGGGTATGTGTATTCGTGTAGAGCAGCTATAATTAGATGCACTTGTAATGCATCCAAGTTTTACATTTGCATCAATCGATTCAGGTCCGCTCAAAAACAATATGGATGTTACATTTATTGAAGTTTCATAGGGCTCTTCATCTGCTTTCATTCCTGGTCCAGAACAACTACTTTAGTAAGTAGCACCTCCTATTGTTTATTAAGAGTACTGCAGCAGTTTAATTCACTAACTACACTGTTAAATATTCCTTAAGAAAGCTTAAGGTATGCCATGTAGGATTACGGTAATAACCAGTATCCCATTTTATGTGTAGTATCCTGAAGTGCCACAACAGCTCTTAAACCAACAGCCGTAGCGACAGTCATATTATTTATTGATTTATGTTTTTGCACTAAAGCGTTCCCTGTTTTAGACAAACACAGTAAAACTGTATGGTACCATTTTTCTGAAATGGAAGAGTTTCAACCACAAACTCATTATGGAACATATAAACTGGGACCCAGATGATGTTCTTTTTTACATGGTATGAAACCTGGAGGTGATTTTTCCTCTCTTACTCGTTTCTGTCTTGGATACTGGCCAACAAAAACTGGCTGAAGATTGATTGCACAGCAGTGTGTGAGCGTGATGGACACCACTGCAAAAAGGGATGGGGAGACTAAACAAAACTAAAGATATATGGCGAAGGAGTACAATTAAAAAAGGGGAACAATGTAATCGGAAAACAAAAGTCAACAAAGAGAAAGCCAAGGTTCAGACCTGATGGTGCTTCCTGGAGCAGCTTCGATGGTCCAAACACAGTGCAAGTTGTGCTCGTATGGAGCCGGGTATCCTGGAGACAGAATACGACCGGAAGGCTCCTCCTTGATGGTGCCCCCACACTCCACTAAAAGC